TTATTGTTATGCTTCTTTAACAGAAAATAGTAATAGAATTTCACCTAGGGCTCATGACCTATTGAATCTCAGGTGCCTGGCCACTTTAGCAGTTTCAGGCATGGATTTTATCTCATGGAACAGGTCTTAGACCCAATTAAAAAAATATTGGTAACTACTATAACATTTGTGCCATTATTACACCAATATATCTTGCAGGCAGGTTCACTGTTGTAGGTTGCACCAAGAATCATGTTGATAATTATTTTTCTCCTCCAATATCATGCAGAGTACCTTCCAACACCACAAATGCTACTCAGTAGGAGTGAAGCTTTTAGTTGAGCTCCAGCTTGATCTCTTGACTTTGGATGACATAAGTAAGTTGTGTCTTTAGCAGGAAGGCTTTATCATCAGGTGTGGAGAGCAACCAATAGCCTTGGCAATAGCCTGTGATTTTTTTTTTTTGGCAGGAGGGGGGGCTATGGACCTCTTGGGCCAACAACTCAAGAAGATATAACCCATTGCAGATGCCAGAGGTTTTACTTGGTGGCATAAAATAACAAACTATAGCACTGTCTTCCCCTCTATATGGTGATTTCATTTACATTTCTTTCACACACACACACACACACACACACACACACACACACAAAGGAAGCTTCTAGAGTAGTGGGGTTTCATATGGCTTTTCAAAGGCCCTTTAGTATTAGTTGTCCCTTTCTGTATTCCCACCTTTATCCTGCCCTTCCATCCCCCTCCTGATTTAGTTCTCCTATTCTAGTTTTGCCTTTATCTCTTTATAATATTATACTCTATTTCCCCTTTCTTAGAGGAACTCTCTTCCCCTCAGGTCACTTATTAGCTACTCAACCTCTTGGTTATTCATTTTTAAACACACATATTTAAAACTTTTTTGCTAACATCCTTCCACAGAGATATTTGCTCATCCATGTTCGTTGCTGTTTTATTCATTATAACTAAAAAATTGGAAATCTCCTTGATGTCAATCAGCTGATGAACAGATAATGAAAATATAGTGCACATACACAATGAAATTTTAAGAGAAATGAAATTTGCAGGTAAATGAATAGAGCTTGAAACAATCATTCAGAATGAGGCAACCCACATACAAAGAGACAAATGTTTTCTTTCATATGTGGGTGTTAGCGCTCTGAATCTTTTCTCAGATTGACAACTGGAGCTATACGAAATTGGCCTCCCTCCCTCCCCAACCTCTGGGAACCGTTCTCACTAGAGTTTCCGTTTCATCTCTTCCATTCCCTTTCCTTCTCTTGCTCCTTTTCCTTTGGTGAAGTAGCCACAGCAGTTGCCTTCTGGGAACTAGAACCGGAGAAGACATGGAAGTAGCCTCATGAGCTCTCCGTAGCAGATGAGAGACAGACATTGTGAACCCTTTAAGAAGCTAACCAGGGTGGCCTATGGCTAGTGTACCTTTGGATGATCTGTGTTTGAAGTGGGAGAGATGCTGATATGTGTAAGACAGGGTACAGTCGCCTGAATTTCATAAAAGGAGAGTCAGTTCAGAAGTCATTCAACAAGAATCTTACTTTATTTCTGACAGATTCCCATAATTAATGACTAAATAAATGTTTTTTAGACAGTTAGACAACCCTGGTCCTTAGAGGAAGTGACTACAAGTATTTGTCAGAATTCTTTTACCAGGGAACAGAATTGCTATTTTCTTTTTAAGTAGGACTGCCAGATTAATAGATAGATTAGCATCAATGACAGAAAGATACGTCTTGATCACAATATGCTTTTTTGTGGGATAGAAAATGTCCTTGTCTTAGATAGGGTTTCTATTGCTGCGATGAAACACCATAACCAAAAAGCAAATTGGGGAGGAAAGGGTTGACTTTCCCTTCAGCATTGCTATTCATTACTGAAGGAAGGCAGGATAGGAACTCACAGGCAGGATCCCAAAGGCAGGAGCTAATGTAGAGGCCATGGAGGGGAGTGCCTTACTGGCTTGCTTCCTATGCTTTCTCAGCCCACCTGCTTATAGAACACAGGACCAACCACCCATAGATGGCACCATCCACCATGGGCTGGGCTCTCCCCCATTCCCATTGATCATTAAATGAGAAAATGCCTTACAGCTGGATTTCATCAAGGCATTTCCTCAACTGAGGCTCCTTCCTCTGATGACTCTAGCATGTGTCAAGTTGACATACAAAATCAGCCCATACACTCCTATTATAGTCTGTGGGGAATAATGAAGAATGAACTAGATGAGAACATCCTAGTAGGAAACGTGCTCAAGAAATAGTGAATAGCCCTAGTAGTTAGAAGTGTGGTTTAGAATGTGGCCAGAAAGTTCTGTGTTTAAAGTTCTGTGCTTTGTCCAGAAAATGTTCTGATAGTGGAAATAACACATAGCAAATGGGCTCATTCAGTGTGGAAGAGTAAATCGCTGACAAAAGGACATTGTATCACACTCAGAGTATTCTTTGAAGGCTGAACTGTGGGCTGCAGTTAGAAAGAAACACAAGAAACCCAGAAATCAATGTGCAAAGGTATGCTGGGAACACAGTGAAGAATTTAATGTTCACAATTAGAAAACAATTATAAACTTGTTAAATGTTGACATTGTCAATTAGTAATAATACATTTACAGTATGATATGGCTCTGTCTGCCATATTGTATAACAGCACAGCCTTTGAAGCCGGGTTCTCTGGTTTACAGCCTCGGCACCATTGCCTCCAAAAAAATGCCTCACTTTGACCAAGTGATGGGCTTTGGGTAAGTGCAGCATTTCCTTTTCCATTAGAATTAGAGATCGGAGCTGCATTTCATAGGACTATTATTATACTAAATAAGACATGGATGAAACATTTTTTTAAAGAAAACAGCTTTTTACTCCTAGGTCATATAAAGAAGCCTGTGTGTAAATAAAACTGGACATTAATAATAAGCAGTAGATTTATTGAAAGACATTTTGCATCATACAGTTGATGGAATGTGATTAATGAAATTGTTTTGAGAGTCCCCAAGGCAGTGATAAACAAGCGATGTCCTCAAAATCAGAAATGAATTTATTTTTCTGAGTAGCAGAAAGAAAGGCCTTAATGCTAACGGGAGAGTCTTACATTTATGGGCTTTTGTTTTACATTCTATTTCTTAAGAGCCACAAAAATACATCAGTTCGCCCACATACCCTGCTACTTTTCTCCTTGCAGCCTAAAGTGCTTTCTTTTAGAAGTACCTCATTGGTTTGCTGTGCTTATTCGGGTCACAAGGGGACTGTAGCAGGCAGGCCTGGAATCATGTGCTCCATTCAGAACAATTTTTCCATCTTCATACTTTCCATTTCCCTGTAGACACTCCAGTTTCTCCTCTGCCAGGACTTCCCTATCCATTAGGCAGTGTGGTTCACTGCTGGGGCCCATTTGGGCACAAACCAGACCTTTTGTTGAGTTACTGTACTCCCACCTACTAATTATAGAACTCAATGCAGAATGAGTGAATTAATAACGTGTATTTATACCCTGCAGTGCTTGGAGAAGTGTAATGCTGCTGCATGCTTACCGTAGCACATGAGCTCTCCCTTTGCCCCTTGTCTTCCATTTTTGCTCTGTGACTTCACAGCGGCCAGAATGGAAGGTGCACTTTACTCACCAGTGAGTAAATCTTATGAATGGATGCTTTAAAGCTCATGCCCAACACATTGTACAATGAGAAACTATACTTTCAAAAGCTCACTGGAAACACATGCTTGGACTCTGAAATTGTACTAAGTACCCTGTTTCCTCAGGTACCCCTACCACGGCAAGGTTCTTAGGCAGAGGTGGCCTTCAAATGTGTGTTGTCACATTTAATTTCCCTAATCAAAAAGTTGGTGTTGATTGTGTAGCCCTTCAGTGTAGGAAAACACTATAACTATTAGAACCAAAGGAAAACTAGATTGACAATACAATGTAGGAACTAATTTCCTTTGCTTAATAACAGAGAGGATTTGAATCTATTTGGACTGAATGTTGCAGATTTATTATTGTGGGTCCTTATGTGATATCTGTGTTTCCATGACCATACATGTTGATATGGATCAGACAATGAAGACTTCAGAACTGCCCTATTCAAATTTGGTGATTGGGGAAAACTTGGGGAGTTAATTCTTAGTCTTCAAATATTAAGGCTTTTGGTAGAAAAATCTATCTGTCAGACTTCAGGCCTAGGATAGGCTAAAGGTGAGAGAGGTAACTTTCTCAAGTACAGGTGCTTGTATTCTTTTTATACTTTGTTTTGGGGGGGGACGACAATAAAATGAAATACAGAAGTCAGAAATGGAGAATAGGAGAATGAATGAATAATGATCCTAACTCTCAGAGAGCAACACTTGTCTACTACTAAGGAATCAGTGATTGTCAATATAAATTAATTTGTTGTCATTTAAAAATGCAAAGGAAAAATTTTGAAGATAAAGTCATTTCCTATAGAATGGTTTGTTTTTAGGCCACAGGATATGATTCACGTTAAGCTACATTATTTTCCAGAATAAATGGTGTCCATGTATCTACAGGTTAACCAACCGTTTCAGTTACTCTATTTTATTTTACTTTGTATTTGTTTGAAAGCAGAGTCTCACGCTGTAACTCTGGATAGTCTTGAATTTTTATCAATCTTCCTACTTCATCCTCATGACCTACCACAGCGAGCTTACTGAAACCTGCCATTCCCTTTATATGTATCCAAATACTGGATGCATTGTATAACAAAATGAGCAATTTTGTCTTCTGAATACTAGTCTTATCATATTTAAGACATTTAAAATTATGTATATTAAATTAAAATTCATATGCTGAAAAAATGAGAGTAAACAAATTAAAATTCACATTGTGCAGTAGATTTGAAGTAATTGGTTTCAGTTTTATTATTACCACTATGCCACACTTACATCTGTATAATATAATAATATGATAGCAGATGTGCTAGAGACTCTAAGTGACTTATGTATTAATTACATACCTGTTAACTATTTTTAACAATGATTAATTTTCAGCCATTGATCTTATCAATAATTTGCTGCAAGTGAAAATGAGAAAGCGCTACAGTGTGGATAAAACCTTGAGTCACCCTTGGCTACAGGTAAAAGTCATCCATGGATTTTCTTACTTGGGTGTACTGCCAATTACTTACTAGATTTGATGTTAGCTGTAGAAATCTTTTGTCATGTTTGTACAGGTGTAATTGTCCTAACATCATTTTTTCCAAAATGCATGTGATTTTTTAGGATTTAATTACAGTTTAGTGTTTCTAAATCTCTCTCACTTTGTACCAGGAAAATTTGATAGACACACACACACATGTACACAACACATGCACAGAGTTCCCCTTCCCTGCCCCTCCCCAAAAAAACACCCCCAAGGACATTGCAGAATTCAGAAGAGCAAATTTGGAAAGCATCTGTATGCTTAATCTTCATAATTGTCCCAATAGATGCCCATCTGCCCATGCACTCTTCTCATTTGGAAACTGTATTTCGAGTCTCAGGATATTATGCATGGATATAAATACATGGCAAATGCAAAGTGTGTGGATGTGTGTTCTGTGTTCTTTCTTAAATATTTGCTACTTCCACAACTGAGTTTTAATGCTTAGGAAATGATATTCCAAAATACCAAAAGATTACTTATAGCCATTAAACTGCAAAGCAATGTCAACATTCCTAATTGCTTGACTACAAGCATTAATTATCTTCACTTGGAGCCATGGCATCCTGTAAGCAGCATGCATGCTCTAAGGTTAAGCAAATAGGATGGCCTTGGTGCTGGTGCTGCCTATGAGTGCATGGTGGATGGGGCAGCACTGTGAGAACAGGATGAAAAGGTCACCTCACAGACTGTAAGAACTGACAGCATAAGGGAAGCATGTCGGGTTGCTGTGATCTCTGTGGTGGTGATATTTTGGAATTTTTTTTTTCTTCAGGACTACCAGACCTGGTTAGATTTACGAGAGCTGGAATGCAAGATTGGAGAACGCTATATTACCCACGAAAGCGACGACTCGAGGTGGGAACAGTATGCAGGCGAGCAGGGGTTGCAGTACCCCGCTCACCTGATCAGTCTGAGCACGAGTCACAGCGACAGTCCTGAGGCTGAGGAGAGGGAGATGAAAGCCCTCAGTGAGCGTGTCAGCATCCTCTGATTCCATCCGCTCTAATCTGTCAAAACACTGTGGAATTAATAAATACATACGGTCAGGTTTAACATTTGCCTTGCAGAACTGCCATTATTTTCTGTCAGATGAGAACAAAGCTGTTAAACTGTTAGCACTGTTGATGTATCTGAGTTGCCAAGACAAATCAACAGAAGCATTTGTATTTTGTGTGACCAACTGTGTTGTATTAACAAAAGTTCCCAGAAACACTAAACTTGTTGTTGTGGATGATTTATGTTATATTTAATACATTAAACCTGTCTCCACTGTGCCTTTGCAAATCAGTGTTTTTCCTACCAGAGCCTCATTTTGGTAAGAGGCAGCACCTATCCATGATGTCATTGTGTTCGGTGAGCCCCATCGATGGTGGTGTTATAAGCAAACTCTTGAGGAGTAGATAATTTGCTGGTGTTCTGTGAACAACTCAAAATGCATGGTGTGTGTGTTTTTGGGGGCGGGGTGAAAGATGGGGAGAAGGCATCTAAAGTCCTGCAACTGAGTTACAGGAAAACAGTTTTACTCTATGGTTTCAAACCCGCTGCCTGTCTCGTGTGCCTCAGTGTATTTAAACTCCTGTAAGTGCACCTCAATATGTGGAGCTATTGCTCTAAGCCTAAATGCCTTAGAATGTAAACTGCTATACATACCAGATGCATTTCTTCCTTTATTACAATACCAGCTGTATTACAGAAAACCAGCAACTCAGCAAATGTTGGCCTTTCGTGTATTTTTTCAATAATAAGAAATAAATATTCTTCTCAAAATCAGTGTCAATCTAATCAAATTATTTTCCCTATAGTCTGCAGTCTTGTTTTCCATATAATGAAGTACAGAGGTATTTGTTCAAATAGCAGGAAACATGTGGCATGTCTAGCATTTAACCTGTGTACATCAAAGTGTATAGAAACATTTCTTTTTAATTTTATATCATTATTTACTCTTATTGTATGAATGTTTTGCCAAGCATATATGTCTATTCTCCATATGTGTGACTGGTCCTTGTGGAAATAGGTAAGAAGAGGGTATCAGATACTTGGAACAGTAGTTACAGGTGGCCGTGAGCCACGGTGTGGATGTTGGGAATTGTGAGCCATTGTGTGGGTGTTGGGAATTGAAAGTGGTTTTCTGCTAGAGTGCTGCTCGGTGCTCTTAACTGCTGAGCCACCTCTCCAGCTTATAGAGAAACATTCATGTCTTGTGTGTCACCTCACATAGTTAGGAAGGAGGCTTCAAGAGAAAAAAATGAATGAAGCCAAACAGAAACTTGGAGGCAGAAGTAGACATATTGCAAGTTGCAGTCTGAATGTGGTTTCCTGGGAGATCATAAACCAGAGACTTAATTGAAGACTGGCTCAAGTTTATTTTCATGTGATATAAGCAAGGTGGTTTTGAAATAAGCTACAAAAACTGAAGGAAAAGTCCATAAGAACACCCACTCAAACAGTGTTATACAGGCTGGAGAGAGGAAAGGTAACACTGTGCTGGCCATACTTACAGGTGCTCCGAGTTGGGCTGTGTAGGCCATTTTCTTTTCAGAGAGATGACAGTGGCATACTCTATGACAGAAAAAAATTACATGTAATTAATGTTTCAAAGAATAAGTGTTGAGATGTGCTTAAATAAACTGGGGTGTTAAGACTGGATGATTTCAACTTCATGGAATGAAGCAAGAATATTTAATCTGTCCAGTGTTTAATCTCTGTGTTAACACTGAATTTTGAACAAATCTGTCTGGAAAATTTAGTTTCTGAATTTGCTTTAGGGGTAAGATAAGATAGGATAGGATATAGATTGTGTGTGTGTGTGTGTGTGTGTATGTGTGTGTGTGTGTGTGTGTGTGTGTACGTGCATGTGCATGTGCACTTGTGTCCTAGTGCCTGCATGGAGAAGGATATGGATGTGTCATTAGGTTGACAAACTAGAACACATTAACAAAGAGGACAATGGGTGCTGTAGGAACTGTACCTTTTCTATGACAAAAGATTAGTAAGAAAATTCAAGAAGGGGGAAAGGGGTAAAAGTATATAAATACCTTTTCAATTTATATGTAATATATACCTGAGAATCATAATTTAAATTACAATGATTTACATTAAATATATATCTACCTCTTATAAGCTACATTATAAAATCCTACCAGTGACTTCTTTGTTCTGGGAAATTAAGATGGCTATGATATACAAAACTATGTCAATATGTCCCACATACCATAAAAGATCCTTCAGTCTTTGATTCTTGATTGGGAGGCGGAACCTAGTGTAAATTATAAAACTACAGAGAAGTGCATGACTCCTGCAGCAAATATTTACTGAATTTTTTTCTATGCAGGGCTTTGCTGTATGTATGATTTTCAGATGTGAATAAGGTATTCCTCTTCAGACATGATTTCTGATCATTAAATGGAAACAAATTGGTGATGCCTTTAGAAAATCGTAGATAAAGGAATGAGGCATGACAGCCTTTAGCTTGGAGGAAGGAAAGCAACGGGTTGATGTTTGAGCATGGCTGGAAACACTAGCAGGTGTCTTTCTTTTATACTTGCAATTCTGTCAGGCTGCACATAGAAAGCATGAGAGAGGACAGGAAGATTAAATTAACATCTTACAGGCATGCAAGTGTACCACTGAGAACTGGAGAGGTAATCCAGCACATCCAGTAGAGGGGAGGCATGGTCTGTATTGAGAGGCTCTTGTATACTGTTTTAAGGAGTTCAAGTTTATATTATGTTAATATCAGAAAACTATCCACACTTCAAATAAAAAAAAAGTTAGCACCATCCACAAGTTCACCTTGCCAGCAGCACAGAGACTGGGTTAACACTGAGGCAAAGTGAAGGAGCTTAAGACCAACTATCCTTTAATTCAGGAGATACTGAGAGCTGACCAAAGCAATAATAAATAGGACGATGGAAAAGAGGTACATATGAGATGCTGGAACATGGAATCAGTGGTCTTTGTTAGTGATTAAATGTGAAATTTAAGAGGTCAGAATGAATCTTTGGTTTGGGCTTGGATGACTATTGAAGTATTAATTTCAGATTATAAAGGGAAAATTGACATTTGAATGTTTGGATATTGAGTTCCTGTAGCACTGCAGATGTACCTCAGTTGGTAGAGTGTTTGCCTAGTGTGCATGAAGCCTTGGGTTTGATCCCCAGAGTCACAGAAATCAGAACATGGTGGTATATACTTATAATCCAAATACTGGATGATGAAGGCAGGAGGATCAGAAGCTCACATCATCCTTGCCAACCATCTTCTTATCTGGATACCAGTGATTCTGTAAAGCCCATTTCTGTGAATCAGCACTCATTACTGTCAGCAAAATAATCCATACTTTAGAAACAATGGTAAGATATGACATCAATAGGAGCAGGTCAGTATATGTGTACTGCAAGAAGCCAACAAACATCTTTGTATCAGTTTGCCAGACCCAAAGAAGGATGTGCCAAGAGTACTTGTCACAGTCAGTTGTTCATAAGCAGTCACATCATTGACCCACCTGAAAGGCTATAACTGCTGGTCTCTGATTTTTGTGATCCACCATGGAGCCTACCACTGCTCTGCTTTGTCCTGAGCAAGAGGAGAGTACTGAGAGAGATAGTTTTATCAGCATTGCTTTTGTTATGTCTACTCTTTAAGTAAAGGGAATACTCTGATGCAGATCCAAGGACCACAGCGAACGTTGAACGGGTGTAATGAGTACACAGATTTAAGAAAGTCCGCTCGCCCTTCCCATGCATTATTCAGTCAATACTAAATTGGCTTTCTATGAAGTACTCACGTTTTACACGGTCTTTGCTTGTACCTGACTTGAGAAACAGGACTCCAGTTTCCCGAAGACACACTAAGGTCCCTGCTACCTTTAGTTGCCAAGGGAACAACTTTTCACTTTGCTGGAAACACTTTCTCAGCTCAGCCGTCTTGATGCCAACTCCTAACACCCTTGAGCGATTTTTTTGGTCAGCATCTCCTCTTTTCTTTCTGTTTCTCTTTACCTTCCTCCTTTTATGCTGGGTGCATTTCAAAAAAAATCATTTTAGCTCCTCTGCTGAGGTTTTGCTGTTTCTTTTAGTTATTAATGATTGGCTTACTGATTATAACAGGTATCTTTACTTATTATCCACTTCAAGTTAATAGTTACTTAATTCTAGTGAAATGTATCAACTTTACCTTCTTGTAGGTTCTCCTTCTGCCTCCCTTTGTATTATTGTCGTCTTACATAGCATAGCTTTAGACAGCCTAACAGGGCTGCTGCTGTACAGTTTTACATGGGTTGGATTCAGACACTTTATACATTTCCCCTGGCTGTTTTTACTGTCTGCGTGTGTGAGGTCATTCATGAAGCCATGGAATGGGAATAGCATAAAACCAACAGCATCTTCTGAAGTAACATGCAGCTTTATACAGGCACACTGCCTCCAGCCACTAGGGAAATATGGGAACTTTCTTCCAGTCTGATCATTGCTCCCATAAACACCGCAGCCATAAAAGGACCACAGCAATCGCCCTCCATGGTTGTTTGCCAGCTAGTCCTTCCCATCACTACAAAGTCATTCCCCCAGCCTCTATCTACCTATTGGAACAACTGTGCCAAGGAGCAAACGGTTTCAGAGAATGAGAAAAAAACATGGAGTCACAGATCCCTATCATTTTACAGACATTTAATAGATTTCCTTGGATAAATGCTTTAGAATTTATTGTGTGACATTGGCCAGTTTCCAAAGTCCTTTCTTCAATTTACATATTTACATTTAATGTATTTTTCTTACAGGCTCTGAATGTCTGAAATGTACCTATGTGTATAAATAATTTTCTATAACAAGATGTGTGTGTGTGTGTGTGTCCCAGAAACCTAAACTTTAGAGCTCATCTCAGCTAATGACAATGTGATGCTTAGTAGAATCACCCAAGTTGTTTATCACACAACAAAACCTCAGCACCAAGGATTAACATCCTTCATAATCTCAGACAGCTCTTTTGTTGCTCTGTCTCTCTCATTTGAGATGTTTCTCTTTCTTCACAGTGGAAATGGTGAAGGTTCATTAGAATAGCACTATGTTGTTATTTTTTTCTTTTGCTTTTTAAAATGTTTTTCATAGATATTCTTTATCACTTTTATCCTAATTATTGTGTCATTCAAGACATACTCTACTACCACAGCCTCTGATTATACATGTTCTGATTGTTACTCAATAACAGATTTCACTTTGATTTACATTGAGCCCACTTTCCTACCATGAACATACCAATACATTGAAAATTGCTTATTCCTTGCTTATTCTTCTGTTCTTATTCTTCTACCTAATATCTAATTTCTACTCTACATCATCCCAGCTATGTGTGTGTTTATACATGTGTGGTGATGCTTGTGCATGCCCATGTGTGATGAGTGTGAGTGTGTGTGTGTGTGTGTGTGTGTGTGTGTGTGTGTGTGTATGTGTGTGTATTTGCAGATGTGATTCTGCATGCCTGTAAATGAGGAGACCAGAAGTTGACATCAGGTATCTTTCTTTCAACTCTTTATCATATTTTTTGAGACATGGTCTGTCTGTGTACCTGGAGATCACTCTTTTGATTATATTGGCTGGCCAGTATACTCAAGATCTTCCAGTGTCTGCCAACTAGTACTGGGGTCCCACATGCATGCACACTTGCCCAGGTTTTATGTGGGTGCTGGGTACCCAGACACAGGGTCCTCCTCATGCTTGTACAGCAGGCACATTACCCACTCAAACATCTCTTCAGCCCTAGCTATCTTTTCTTTT